AGATAATGCAAAAGCCTTTATTGCTTTGGTATGATTCCCTACTGCTGAAGCTCTTTTCTGTCAACTGAGTGAAATAGAAACCAATGACCAGATGTTTTTTTATTCTTCCATTTATGTGCTAGTGATTTAGGCTGTTGTGTTAACAGGGTTTACAAGTAGAAGATGCCTTCATCTCACAAGAACCATTAACCCAAAGTCTTAGGCTGGAATTGCAACTACATACTATGTTAGAGCAAACAAAATCTGTTTAGAAACTCTGTGTCATCATTTACATTCCACCCCGAATCACATGGGTTGCAGATACTAATAAGCAGAAAAGAAAAAAAAACAAACACAAAAGCCAGGAAAAAGCAGCTAGCCTACACAGAATGTGGTATTGACTGGCATGTTGTAAGAGGGAAAAAAACCAACCCACCACAAGTTTCTAAATGACACAGTTCATTCCAGCCCATTTAACCTACACAAAATGCTGGATGCACACAAACAGCAGGACCTGCAAACAAAGAGGCAGCTCTGCCAGCAAGTCTCACACAATCACAGTATCTGTCTCAATAGGGCTCGTCTCACAGCAATACAAATTTCCAATGGTAAAACAACAGTGAAGTAAAATTGCACCACTAAACACTTTCAGTTTTGCTTGCTTTATCCTGGTCTTTTTAGCAAACTTATTTACTCTATTTATTTATTTATTAGCTACTCTAATGTTATTTCCTTGATGCCAGCACTAAAATTTACCACAGGTGGATGGATAATATATTTTTTTCAAAACCTCGCGTGACTTTACCAAGCCTCTGTGCTGCCTCATCAGTCTTCCAACACATTGTTGGGCTGCAAGATGAAAGACTGACTTTGCTCTTTTGAAAACAACTGTACTCAAGAAGACTCACTAGAATTAAGAACCAAGCCAAACTCCATGAACGAGCTTAAAAATTTTACTTTGTGTATTCTAGAATTATGAACGTATACAGGTTACCAAAAGACAGAAAACCTGATTTGCAAATATTGTACTATGAAATACTTTCTGTAACTGTAGCTAAAGAAATGCATTGTCTATGTTTAAAGCCTAGGGGTAAAAAAGCATAGTCTTCTTCCTTAAAAATACTTTAACTGCAACAAGTGATACTGAATTATAAATAATTCTGCTGAGAAATAGTCATTAGAAATTTTATTATAAAATCCCTCAATTTAAAGTTCTGTCTATTCAAATAAATACAAGTCAAATTTTAAAACGGATTTGCTTAATCCTGTTCTAATTTCCTGATACAACTGTGCTCTGGTTCTGTTAAAGTTTACAGCTAGGATTAATATTTTTTTTCATACGCATTCAGGCACACCCACCCTGTAGCACTGTATTTGATCATGCCTGAACGCTATTACCATTAGAGTGTTCGAGAGGTGTTGACATCTCCTATAACTTGTTAAAGAACCAGTTCCAAGATATTCTGTAGCAAGCAAAGCAAGGGAAGTATGACTTAAAATATAGGTTTAAATTATGTCTCCATCCAGTTAGGTGTTGACATCTCCTATAACTTGTTAAAGGAGAACTAATAAATTTTTTTTCATACGCATTCAGGCACACCCACCCTGTAGCACTGTATTTGATCATGCCTGAACGCTATTACCATTAGAGTGTTCGAGAGGTGTTGACATCTCCTATAACTTGTTAAAGAACCAGTTCCAAGATATTCTGTAGCAAGCAAAGCAAGGGAAGTATGACTTAAAATATAGGTTTAAATTATGTCTCCATCCAGTTCTGTTACCACAGGATTAAAAAAAAAAAAAGTTTAAGAGTAATAAGTACTACAGTAAAGAGAACAAGACTAGTATCACTAACTGTTCTTTGTCATTAATGCTAGAAAATAGGATATATTTGGGTCCATGGCTTACAGCAACTCAGGATAATAGGCTCCCAAGCAGCTTCATGCTTTATTATCTTTTATGTTATGAGATAATATCTCCTTAAAAGGCTTGCTAATGTTAATATATTTCAGATAAAGCATAGCACAGAGAACAAAAGAAAACCTTTGTTTGAAAGGCCTTGAGAAAGCCATATATTTTAATTATGTCACAGAACCCTTCTGTAGCACCAGATACTTGAAATTGCACTTCCTTCCAGAGCAAGCCTCAGTGAATAAAAAAACCACATAAACAGAGATCAGGATGCACATCTCAAACTATGACACACAAAAGTATTTCTTAGTCCACTCTCTAGATAATAAAGGCAACATTCCCTCACCTAGCCTTTTGAGCCAAGATATACACATTGACTAGGTGAAAGAAGCTTTACAAGTTAGGGAAAAAAAGAAAACAATAACATGAAAGAATCAAAACTTTATTATTAATGAAGAATAAAGTGTTATTATAGCTCAAGGTCACATATGACAAAACAATCTTCAGTTCATGCCCCATCCGCTACGTACTGAGAGAATCAAAATTAAAACATAGCTGTTCTTATTTTTCTCTTCAAAACCATTTGTGGAACTGCAATTTGCAACCAGCTGAAAGATCAAGTTCCACACAGACCCAGCAGGCTCTGTCACTCGGGATCCAGAATGAGAGCAGTCAGGGGACACTAAGGTCAAATGAACTAGTATCAGGTGAGGAAATAGGATTTGGTGAAATCTGCAATATCAGGTGAGGAAATAGGATTTGGTGAAATAAATCTGCAGTGTCATATAAATGGTGTTTATAAAAAAAAAAAAAAAAAAAAGGCATTTAGAAAACAACAAGGAGCCTGATAAAAGAAACTAGAATAAGCATGGTGTTTCCAAATACTTAGTTCAAGTCTTCATCTGTCCAGCAGAATTTCAGTTCTTAGGATTAATATTGTATTAAGAATGTAACCTACTACAAGAAAATGATGAAAGAATGGCAGTATTAGAATGAGATACATTGGGGTAGAAGGGTGGGGGAATAAGAAACACAATCTGTGCAGGGAGGAACTACAAGAAAATGATGAAAGAATGGCAGTATGTGCAGGGAGGAAGAGGGACAGAAGGCAAAAAAAAAAAAGCTAACCTTTGTCAAGCAACATCTCTCTATCTATTTAGAACAACTTTCTTCCATAAAACTTGACAATTCTAGTGTGCCAACATGAAAAGCACGTAGCTTTTCTAAGATCAACAAACCTATATAGAGCTGATATTTAATTGCCTCTTCAATATCTGATAATTTTACATGTGCAATATTGTATCTGTCCATTTTAGAATATCATCTTCCCAAGGGAAGATCTGACATAATGCACTATACAGTTTTTCACCCTGAAAGTAATTAGTATAATAAAGTCAAAGTAGAAACAAATGTTGAAAAAAAAAAAAGCTATGTTTACAGCCAAAATAAATAATAAAATAAGATTACATGAATATTCCCAAAAATAAGAACACACTCAATGAAGGTCTTGAACACTGTCTTGAATGTCAAACCAATTCCAAAATCATACACACAAAAAAATTTAAAAGAAGCACCATTAAAACAGCAAGGATGCTGACAATTTGCTCTGTTTATCTGTTTTTGTCTCATTTTAGATAAAGCAAGGATGCTGACAATTTGCTCTGTTTATGTTTTTGTCTTATTTTAGATACAAGGTCTTGAACACTGTCTTGAATGTCAAACCAATTCTGAAATCATACACACAAAAAAAAATTTAAAAGAAGCACCATTAAAACAGCAAGGATGCTGACAATTTGCTCTGTTTATGTTTTTGTCTTATTTTAGATACAGCACACATACTTGACCAGGGATCATTTCAAAAAAAGGCAAAAGTTAAACAATCATGAAAATCATCTGCATAAAAAAAAAAACAAACAAGAAAGGAAACAACATGTATATAAAAAAAAAAAAAACAAGAAAGGAAACGTGTATAATGCCAGGAAAAAAATTAAAAACAAACAAAAAAACCCCCAAAAATGACCAGGGATCATTTCAAAAAAAGGCAAAAGTTAAACAACCATGAAAATCATCTACATAAAAAAAAAAAAAACAAGAAAGGAAACGTGTATAATGCCAGGAAAAAAATTAAAAACAAACAAAAAAACCCCCAAAAATCCAACAACCCTAACAACAACAAAAACACCCACAAAAAAACCAACCACATCTTGGGCAAAACTGATCCTAAGCTATGAAGCATCTCTGAAAAAGCTAATCACAGAATTTCTAGACCACAGCAATACTTAATTCAGGACAGATGAACTCTTATAAATCTTGACAGAATGGTACTTCAAGCTATTTCTTCCCCCATTCCTCTTTCCTACAGAATGTTAAACCCATCCCTACAGGAAAGCTGTCAGCTCCATTTCATAGGTCTGCATCCACACCTAAATCCATCCTCAACCCTAGTTTCAGCTAAGACACAAAACTTCACGAAGAGACACAGACACACATTCCTTTTAGCCTGTTCTCCTATCAGGACAGGAACATATCAACAGACTGGATTTGGGATGGCAGCATTTCCAAGGCCATAACTGTTGCCTCTCCCAAAAGCTCACTGAGCTCACTCCCGATTCACCAGAGCATCCTATGCTGGATTCTACATTGCATCAGTTCAATTATAAGTGGTCTGTAAAGTAAGAAGAACCTAATTCTGCCACCTGTTTTCATGCTGAACAGCAACTCATTGCTTATGTAGTTGGACAGATTTCAAACCGATTATATTCAAAGCTATAGACATACTCCAATATAAAGATGATAGAATTTGTCCTTCAGAAGATTATCATCTTCTACCTGTCTGCCTGTTACTGTTATCTACCTGTCTTTATATCTTAAGTCTCTTGGGGTTTTTTTCAGTCTTTGAGTGAGGAAATGCATGGATTCTATACGGAAAGCAAAGCTAGATATTTAGCATATGGGTTAGCACAACTGTCTTTAACAGCTGATGAAGAAAGATTTTTTTTTTATTATTACTAACATAGAGAAGGACTGAAAACTTGCTATTCCCTAAAAAGGCTGGCAGTTATGGTGTCAAAGACAGATTCGGAAAGCTAAATTTATTTGCAATTACTTACCCACAACCAGAGATAATCTTTCCTCAGCCTTGCTTCTTTACACATTAGCTTTGCTTCTTCTCTTCAGGGACTGGCTGAAAGACAAATTTTGGCACAGTCATCTCAGATATAAAAAAAAAAAATGAAACAGAAATAAAATTAAAAGAAAGTTCTGTCTAAGTGTGAAGCCATATAGGAAATACTGACAATTCACCTTATTATACAAATGCATCAGAAGCATGAGATATTTAGAAACATTTCCCTAATGCACTATCATGAATGCTGGCCAGAGCTCTGGGGACATAAAACAATAGTGACAAAAGATGAAAGACCAGAAGTGTCAAAGATCACACAAAATTATGTTATCTTAAACAGTACCATTACTAAAATTCAGTGATACAGGTATATTGTTTTCCTCTCTTTAATTAAAACGTTGCCCCATAGTTTCTTTTCCACTCCAGAAATATTCTCTTTAGATTCCTTGCTTCAGCTTCATATTTAAACTGTTGTATTTCTTCTAGACCAGAAGTCCAAGCTATCAGAACAAAATGTCATATGAATGCATAGTATCATATGAAACGAAAACGCATTACAAATGGAAAGTCGTATCTCTCCTCCCCTCATCACACCATCAGAAAACTAAACAGCCTACTTACAACCCATTTAATATTTGTTGCTTTACACATCCATTGTAAATCACAGTTTTGCTTAACCTTTCTTTCCCTAAAAAAAATTAAAATGTTAGTCTCTTCCACAGGTCCCATTCTCAGAGGTCACATCTTACCCAGTAACACATTTTCAACATATTATACAAGCACTTTCCACTTTTTTTTTTTTTAAACTTGGATAACATGTTTTCTTACATGACCTCCACTCCACTTTACAGCAATGGGATACTTCTACTCCACTGATACTTTGCTCTGGGAGTTGCTTCCAAGAAATGATCACACAAGGAGCATTTATAAGAAAATGCTTAGTGAAGTGAATTTTCTGAGAAGAACTTAAGCAATAGCCCGTGACTTGAGTGGAGCTAGCCCTTAGTATAGAATCATAGAATGGTTTGGGTTGGAAGGGACCTTAAAGATCATCTAGTTCCAACCCCCCTGCCATGGGCAGGGACACCTCCCACTACAGCAGGTTGCTCAAAGCCCCATCCAGCCTGGCCTTGAACACTTCCAGGGATGGGGCATCCACAACTTCCCTGGGCAACCTGTTCCAGTGCTTGTATCTTCTGACAAGAGGGCCCACACCCACAATCCAGGGAGCAGAAGAACCAAGATGCACCCAGGCAGCAGGTTGTCTTTGATTTCCCATACCTGGGACGTGGGACTGGTTAACCACAAAAAACCCTACAGCACCGCACTAGCTGTGCACGAATCCCCAACGCTGCAGCACGGAGAATCCAGGATGAGCAGCCTGACCTTCCCCTTTACCATCACCATGTGACTGTGGGTATGCTTTTATACATATTCACATACACATTCATATATGACAAAAATAAATTCAAGAGAAGAAAGAATTCTGCTCTAGGAAGACACCTTAGATGCAACCATGATCTTTAACAGAAAAGTTTGGCGGAACCATTTGTTACTAACCTGGCAAACCAGAAACCACAAGTCAGCAAAAGAGGCACAGGGGGGTGGCTAGAAAGAGATTCTCAGTTGCTCTTAAGTACAGTATTAGTCCTTGTTTTCCAGCTAAGTTTGCTTCCCAAGCTAAAAATTTCAACACCCACAAAAAAAATAAAAAATAACTAAATCAATTAGGGTGGCTGGATGACAGCAATGGAGAAATATGATGATAGCGTAAATCACGGAGGAGGAAGAGGAATTATACAGCATGACTCTAAGGGGAATAAATGGAAGAGTGGGATGAATTTAGGAAAGAAGGTGGCCTAGGCTAAGCGTCAGAAAACATTTCTTTTAACAGCAAGATACAACATAAAGTAGAATATTTTTCCCACGGAAAGGGAAGTTATTTAAGACTAAATTAGATAAAACACTGGAAAGTGCAGCAAAGAAAGCACTTCTGAATTGATGAGGTCACGGATGAGAACACTTAATAAATCCTTTCCTTCTCGCTTCTCATGATTAGGTTTCTCAGTAAGATTTCAGTATAACAACCAACTATAGAGCAAAAAACACATAAATTTCTTGTTGGGTTCTCGTCTCAAAAAATACCTTGGATTTCATCAGCATTAAGGTTAGAAATGTAATTTGCACTTGATGCAACTATTACACACTGAACTATTTAAGCACTATTCATAATTTTAATCCCCTATTACTTATTCTCTTGCCTGCTGCTGTAACACAAAATTATCCTTTTAATTCTGGACTTTATAGCATTTTTATTTCAGATATTTCAAAGTACTTTACCAACATATATTGACTATCAACATCCTTCAAAATCAGTACAGCATATATCAACATTGCATGTCATTGGTCCAGATGTTATCCCATCCTGTGATTGCTGAACTGTCCAGCTGCTTAACACGATACATAATTAGCAGGCAACATGATGTCTGTGAAATCCTCTGGGGTTGCACGTGGCCACAGTAGATTAGAAGAGTAAAACTGAGTCCAAAAAGAAAACAAAATTCAGTGTTTCTTTCAGTTCAATGCCTGCAGCATGCAAGATCACAAACCAGCAAAGGTTTAGGAGCAGTGATAAAGTAAGCATACCCTTACCTGACCAAGTATTTCAACAGAAAACCCACTATTGGTTTGGGGTTTTTTCCTTATTATGACTGTTCTTACAGTCTTACTTTAAGCAATACACAACATTCTGCAATTCAGTTCAGAAAGAGATAGGGTAACTTAACAAAAAGTGACTGACAGAAGAGTTTTGTCCCATTTTTTTCTTCCCTTTGAATTCTCACGTAGAATTTTCCAAAATGCACAAATAATCTAGAAACATAGATAAATTTGAAAGATGGAAGTTGTTTCTCCTGCTGATTAAAAATGCTTTCTTCTATAGGGCAACCAAATAAATAATTTTATTTTTTTTTTTAAAAAGCAGAGTTCTTCAAGGCCTCCTTTGGACAGTGTGGAAATCTTACTCACTATAGGGAGTAGTTCAGTTATAGTGACTATATAGTGACTAAAATCCCAAAATTCTCATGATTTATAGTCCAAATTTTAAAGGTCCTGCTCTGTACTGGATAGGATCTCACTGTGTGCAGTACTGTCCATCAAGAACTAATAGCAGGGAGTAAGAGAGAGAAACCACACCACCACAGCAGGGAGAAGTTAGCATGTTTTCACAAACTGAAAAACAACAATTAAAAGAGATGATAATGTCACAACAATCAATTATCATTCTGACCCCCAAAGAAAAATAATGAACATGAACAGCAGCGTAACAGGAAAGCGCACGCTCTCTTAAAGTGTTGAGTGCCATGTCATCAAGCTGCAATAGCGTACCACGAGGAACAATTTGGCAGCCAATGACAAAATATCCATTATGTACCAGAGAATGTAACAGCTGTTTGCTTTCACACCAGCCCACAGCCTCTGCAGGTATTTCATACAAATTCTTCCTCCCCCCTGCTTTTTTTTTTTTTTGAGCAGCAACATATTTAAAATACAAACAACTATTCCAGATACCGATACTATTATATCAAACTGCTCATTTATCTCAAGAGATGCAGAGGGGCACAGGCCATCTTCTTTCCTCAGACCAAATGCAAAAACTTCTGTACAAATGAACATTGACCAACCTCCTTTAACGACGATTATATGTACCACTGCAATCAAAGAAAATGTATCTCTAGCCTCATCCCCATAAAACATAACAAGAAAACAGCACTCAGTTTTAAATCAGAGAAGATTGGGGGTTAAAAAAAATCATCTGTCCTTGGCTTGATTGGTTCTGGCTTGATGTCTAAATTAAATTCAGGTGTGGATTCCCCCTAGGGAAGGAGGAGGCAGTTAATGAAGTGATCATTACAGCTTCCCTGTACATAAGACTCCGTTGTCACAGGACACAACAGTGGTCATTTGGGCTGCTTCTGTCCTTCAAATTCTCTGCAGGCTTGCAGTGATGCACATACACAGAAGGCTAACAGAAACACAGGTACCCCAGTCACAGCAGAGGCAATGCCCACTTACTGGAGAACAGCAGGTCTTCTGAGATCCATTGCTTCCAAGAAAACATAGTAATAAATACTTAAGAAAATTAATTTTTTCAGTCAACAGCACCAATCCAACTATGCAAAGACAAGAAGTTTCTGCTAACAGTTGTTCTTCTCTCCTTGAGTATAATAAAGGTTAAGCCAGGAAAGGGACACAAGAGGAAAGATTTTTTTTCTTTGGTATGTTTATTTTGCATTTGATAGTACACTGCATATGCTCATTGCTTATTCTAAACGTATGAGGTTTCCATGCTTCTTTAAGAGAAAAATATGGTTATCTAAAAAAAATTTTAAAAAAATAATCACAAAAACTGTCAGTTTTAGCAGATTAGCACTTGAGGCTATTTCAGAATCATTTATAATTACTTTACAAATATTAAATCAATAATGTTCTTGTAAACAAAATTTAGTTAACATGTTTTGCTTTCTCCCCAATTACTCTCTCATATTCTAGAGCTGAAGGCTGTAACATCAAAACTTTATTTCTCATAATAAGAGGGCTGGTGCAAATTTAGATGGAATGATTGCCATGCTAATCGACAGAATGATTTTACATAACTTCACTAAACTTTCAAAGCTAGGTTTTGTTCTGTACACAACCAATTTTTATCTCTTAAACTGTCTGAAGCCCATAATCAAAGCAAAGGGCTGGGTTGCCACTGTTGCTTTCAGAGAAGATGATAAATCTGCTGATAGAAAACAAGAGTTCTGCTAACACATATTAAGCACCCTAGCCACCAGCAGCTACAAAGATGAAGGAGTACCTCAGATGAACTTTACTTCTGGCATGGAAATCAGTGTCAACAATTTGGCCTGGGCTACAAGAAGAATTTGGTTGGTCGCACAGGTAACTAAAGAGCATGTTTGCTTTATATATTTCTGTTTGGGTTTCCTGAATGCCAAAAGCTAGCCCAAAACATATTGTTTTGTAACTTACAAAGGAAGGCCTCAAAAGCATGATGCTTATCACAGTGTCTCAGTTACTTATATTTTTCTACAAATGCAACATTTCCTCTAACATTTCTAGTTTTAGTTTTAATAAAAAGAATAACCAAGAAATTTGGTATGTATGAAAAATCTCGGTTTCCAGAAGCCTACAAGGGCTGCTAAAATATAGCATACTCGCAAAGATGAATTTGAGATAACTACATGCATGACTATATTATTTACACAGAGGAGCACAGAACTATTTTAGTTCTACGCAATAAACTGTCAGTTGCATCAGATTACACAGAGGAGCACAGAACTATTTTAGTTCCACGCAATAAACTGTCAGTTGCATCAGATGTAAAACTGACACCAATAATAATACCCAAAGCACACATACAATAAAATGAGGTCAATTAGCAGCAGCAATTGAAGCACTTATGCCAGATGCGTAGAATGTAGATAAATATCTACTATATACAGAACATACATGTAACAATCATGTAACTATTATAAATACATTGTGTTATTGATAATATTTAAAAATCAGTATTAAATACAGCTGAGGCATCATAGGTGTAAGTTACAAAGTCATGTTTATTCTGGAGTGGCAAAACTTTCAGCAGAAGAGGATACTCGGTAAATTTCATTTCCAGCAACAAACACAGCAGGCCGCCACTGGTATAAACAATAAAGGAGATGCTTAAGTAGAAAAAAAAAAGCCACAGTAGAGAAGAGTAAAATCCAAGATTTAGCAAACAAAGAGGTAGAACCTGCTTTTTAAATGGTTGAGGTAACCTGCTGGTGTGCGGGCTGTACAACACAGAGGCAATGCTGACACCGATTCCTACTTGGCGACTGCCCTCCTAAAGATCAGTTTCAACACAGGTGGGCCTGTGTGTTAAAATCACCCAGAGCTCAACAGTTATTCCCTTTCTGAAAACCTGCACAAAGGGAGAACCTTAGGGGAGGGCACCGAGAAACACAGTCATTTCTCTGGGCTGCGGAAAAAAGTAAGAAAAACAGTAAAGATGGTTTCCCATTGAAAATAAAAGCACAGAGGCAAAGAAATCCTTGCTAACCTCGTTCAGAGACTGCCACTGCTTACCTGAACCAGCACCTGGAGTATAACCACACAGATCGAGTTAGCTTAAGTAACAGAATTCAACTTAGAAGAGCATGCTGAGAGAGGAAGAGCTCACACACCACCACAGCACGCCGGGTGGCACAGGGGAACATTCACTGCGCTCAGAGAGGGGCTGCAACGCCATCACCAAACACACATCACCTGTTGCTCCTTTCCAGGCCCTGCACCAACCCCCCCTTGCCACCCTCCACCTCCCCGTGCAACACACCCGCCGAACAACACCCCACTGCCACCCACCAGCTCCTCTGAACCCTGCCTTCCCCTTCCCCGCGCCTTGGGCCTTCTTCCCTCCTTCCCCGCCCCACCCCCGGCTCCGCCAGCGCTTGGGCCGCACCGAGCGAGGCCGACCGGAGCCCTGCCGGGGAAGCGGCGGTAGCGCCTTCAGGGAAAGCCGAGGCTTGATAGCAGAAACGCCGCGGCGGAGCCACCGTTCCCGCGGCGCCGGCCAGGGCCGACCCGGCGGGCCTGGCTCCCGCCCCGAACCCTCCGCACGGAAAGGCGCCCGCCGCCCTTCGCGGCTGCCGCAGCCGGCGAAGAGCCCTCAGGCCGCGACCTAGTGCTGGGCCCGGGTCCGGTGGAGCCGCGGCCGCCGCCTCACCGATTCGCCACTCACCGCCCGGCCGTGCCTTCCCGCTCCTGCCGCCGCCGCGGCTGCCCCCGCCCCTGCCTGCCCGCCGCGGAGGCGCGCAGAGAGGCCGGCGCGGGTGGCAGGAGGCGGCTCCGGGGGCCGGCGCGGCCTCGGTCGCTGCGGGCGGGGAAAGGGGCCTCGCTGCGGGGAGGACCTCGCCTGGCACCGGCAACATGGCAGCGTCCAGCCGGGCCCAGGTGCTGCGGCTGTACCGGGCCCTGCTGCGAGAGAGCCAGCGCTTCAGCGGCTACAACTACAGGTGCGCTGCCGGCCCGGGCGGGGACGGGCTCCGGGGACAGGCAGCGGCTCCGGCCCCGCTTCTCCCCGCGAAAGCGTGGGGGTAACGGGGATGAGGGGAGAAGCTGGTGTCATTCAGGGCTGGGCCGGGTAGGAGCTGGTTTCTGGCGGGCGCAGGGGAGCTGTGACCTCCGGGGAGCCCGCGGGGGGGCGGGCGGCTGCCCAGGCCGAGCCGTGCCCCGGGGGGTAGGAAGAGGGCCCGGGGCCGGGCGCGGCGGTCGGCTGGGGCTGGGGCCGACTCGGGGCACTGGGGAGGGTCAGTCCCTGTGCCTGACCCCGGGCTGCCTCCGAAGCACCAGGTAATGGGCCCTCCCTGTGGTAGGAGAAAGGGACAGGACAGAGATTGTCCCGGCCTGAAAGTCTCGTCCGGATGCTGCCCTTCTCCTGTCGGGGAGGGCCGGGGTCAGGGTTGCCGCCGTGGTTGTGCTGGCGGAGGCTGGCTTGCCCCCCACCGAACCCCAGCGCCATGTGCTGTGCCCGAGCGTGGGGTGCTGTGTGCAGTGAGGGAGCAGGGTTCTCTCCTCCCGCTCCTCCTCTGGCTGTGGGTGAAAGACACGCACCGTTTTTTGGCTTAAGGGTATGCCTGCCTGCTACAGGCATAGGCCTGGTCTCCGTTAGGTATCTGCTGAGTTCACAGGAGGTGCCCCCCACCAGCGCTGGCAAAATTGTATTACCCACTGGCAGTTTATTCAATTTACCGCTCAGTTGGACCACAGGCAGAGGCACGTGAGCTACCTTTGCTGTGAATCATCTCCAGCCTAGCAAGAATCGGGAACAGAAGCCTTTGAACTTGCATAACTATGGTGAGCTCTGCGCTCTTCAAGGCATAAATATTCCCCAAACCTCAAGTGTGAGGCAGTGCCCCGAGAAGAAAGGCTGTGGGGCTGAAACTGAGCTGGCGCTAATGAATCTTGCTAACTCCATGCAGCAGCGTCTGCGTGCACCACGTTCCTCGCCTCCTTCTTTAGTTCCCCTGCTGTCAAGGCTTCCCTCTGCTCTTTGCTGTCCTGAGTTATTCTGACTAACAAAGAGAGGATTGTACATAACAGTGGTGGCTTGAGGCCTGTGAGATGTGCAGCTGGTGAACAGTTGAACGTATCTCCCGTCTGGGCCATGGAGTTTTTACAGCAATGGGTTTGTGCTGGGAGGTGATCAGTGAGGAAGCTGAGCCCACAGCAGTGGGAGGAAGTAGGCCAGCGCCACCTGACAGTGGTTGTACCAGTAATGGGTGGCACCAGCCTCACAGACCACATGTGGGGCCCCCTCTGCCCAGCTCCTTGCTGGTGGAGCACAGGGGACTTGGGAAATCGTTGTCATCTCTTCTCTGTAAACCATATCGGGAACCCAGCCACCCTCCTCAGGTCCCCCAGAAATGAAGTAGGTACCTGGGGGCGGTCTTGTCTGTATGGAAATTTTGGCTTGCAGCTCAGAGGCAAGACTAACTATCACACAGCAAGAGCTGCACCAATGAGTTTTCTGCTTTTTGCTTTCACAATGCAAAACCTTTCATTCGTTTTCTTTTAGTGTTTTTATACTAGCAAATTTTAAAGTCTAGAAATCATAACATATGTATGTTTACCTTGGTTATCTAATTTTTTTGACACAATTTCATTGTGCCAGTTCTCCTTTTCCTTAAAGGAAAGATCTCAGTTTTTGATGGCCTGTCCTTAGATACTGTAAAATCAGCAACTGTATAAAATCTTGCGGCCTATACGCATTGTGAGCACTAAAAGCAATAGCAATTTTAGCAAGAAACAATCGGCAGGTATTGTATGTAGAGATCTGCTGGGACCATAACAACTCTTCTGCATTGGTGTTTACGCTGCACCCATAGCTAAAATGGACACCCCACTAGCTTCTTCTGTGCCAAGATAAGCAGTCCTCAGGGCTGCTGTAATGTGATACGGTAATACCCTGCAGTAAACCTAATGACTTTGTAAAGAACCAATTTGTAGCAAAGTAGAAAGTATTAAAGATTAATCTTATTGATTTATTATTTCAGTGAGAGAATTTCCAAATATTTTATTATTGCAAACAGAGCGTATTTGTAAGTGTGTGTCTGGAGTGGGATCAGCTGGTTATTGTCTCCTTACTCGCTTGCTGTGCTTTTTCTCTTAAATGTGTACAGATTGTGATGGAAAAGTCAATATTTTTTTGTGACTTTCCCAGTAAATATATTCTATATGTCATCTGGTAGTACCAAATTTTCTTCTAGCACCCTAAAGAACTTTTAGTACCTTAACTGAGAAGAATAATGTTCATATCTTAAAGTAGCTGAGGTTACCACGGACAGCCTTCAGAATAACAACACAAAGGAGCATCTGTAGTAAATGTTATGGAGAGTTTGGAGGCCCAGATGTGTAGGCCAGGTTTTAACAACAGGGACAGAGAATTTAGTAGACTGTAAGTTATTCCATGTCTGCCCTTCTGCCCTGTTACCTGTGCAGACAGTCTGAGGAAGGGAGAGTGATTTGTACTGGAGCAAAATCAATATGCGAAGAGGGAAGATGTTGGGTTTTGAGTCAAAAAGGTGGTTCTTAATAAACATACTGTTTTCTTCTGCTTAGTTGACAAAAAGTAGATCCTCTGATGGTTTATAATGTGTCAGATTACAGTCTCAACTGAATTGATTTAAGGGATAATTTTGTAAATAGAATTTCATTTGTTATTTAAATAATGGCTTTATGTTGTGTCTCTTTTTCGGTAAAGAAAACAGAACTTGTGAAAGCTGTTAAAACACATCTGGTTGCAAATGAGGATAATCTGAAGTTTAAAGTTTCTTGTTTGTTTAACATAACTGAAGCTCAGTGGTCAAAATGCATAGGAATCTAGTTGAAGAGGGTTTTCTCTAGAAGGCTGGCACAGGACTGGAGCAGGTCGCCCTGAGAGATTTTGACATCTCTGTTTTTGAAGGTTTTCATGACTGGTTTAACTAAACTGCACCTGACCATGTTGCGGGTAGGCCTGCTTCAAGTGGGAGGTTGTCTTGGATAACTCCAGAGATTATACCAACGTTACTATGATTTTCAGGTCCTTGGCCTAAAAAGACACCAACACTGGCTAATAAGTCCTAGGAAATATCACATGACATGCTTCTGACTCATCTCCTTTCTAATTCTTTAATTTCTTGTAGTTATGAGCAATATCAGAAGCTCTAAGTGTCTCTTGAAATTTTTCTACAAATAATTTCTTTGTTTCTTTTAAGGTATTTCTTGATTTATTGTATAATTATTTCTTATCCATTATCTTCTCTGTTAACTGGTGGATGTTGCATTTTTATTTATAGATATCTTTTTCTTGTCTATATAAATCACATTTTAATGAAATTTGATTAGAATGTGCAATATTATTTGATTTTATTAATAAAACTACCCAGAATATAGAAGAATCAGGGAAGGAAATTTTTCAAAACAAGTTTTGCATTGGAAACAAGTTAATTAAATGCATGATTCTATGATTTTAAAACTCGTAAGTCTGATTTTTGCAAATCTCTGTGAACCTGAGAACAAAACTGAGCAAAATTAAGTTATACCTTTTTTTCAGTGCCAATTGCTTTTTCTGCTGTGAACAGCATAGTCGTTGATCTGATTTTAGGGATACATAAAACCATAGAACAGCCTGGGTTGGAACAGATCTCCAAAGATCATCTAGACCAACCTTTCATGTGAAAGAGAGCGTACATAATCTCATCTAGCTCTGTGTCCAGTTGCATCTTGAAAACCTCCAGTGACTGGGATTTTACCATGCCCCTGGGGAGGTCATTCCAGTGGTTGATTTTTCTCAATGTAAAAAAATTCCTCCATGTGTCCAAACGAAGCCTCTCCCACTGTAACTTGTGCTCATTGCCCTTTGTCCTCTCCATGTGGCTCCTGAAGAGAGTGCCTCCCTCTTCTTTGCAGCTGCCCTTTAAGTACTGGAAAGCTGTAATGGGATCCCCGTTGAGCCTCCTCTTCTCCAGGTAGAAGAGGCCTAACAACTTCAGTCTTTCTTCACAGGGCAGGTTCTCCAGCCCTTTCACCATCTTTGTGGCCCTCCTTTGGACCTCTCCAGTCTGTCTGCATCCCTATTGAATTATGGGGACCAGAGCTGGTCACAGTACTCCAGGTGCAGCCTGGTAGGCACTGAGTAGAGTAGGATGATCACGTCTGTCTCTGCTAGTAACGTCCTTGTGGATGCAGCCCAGGATCTGATTTGCCTTCATTCTGCAATGGCACACTGCTGATTCGTGTTCACCGTGTTGTCCACCAGGACCCTTCAGGTCTCTTTTGGCAAAGCTGCTCCCCAGCCACACAGATCCTAGCCTCTGCTGGGCTCTTTGTCTATGTCCTTCCAGGTGCAGGACTTTGCACTTGTCTTCGTTAAACCTCATACAGGTTTTGTTTAGTCTTTCTTTGAAAGACTTTTATCAACGTATAGAAAATCTCAACATTTTAAAGATCTCAAGGTGCTTATGATAAGTGCTTCTTTTTTGCTTTGAAAGAAAGTTCAGGAAGTAAAAATTCAGGGGTTCCACTATACAGGGCCAAGCATGTTCTTAAGGTATATTTCGTTTTTTGGCATTAAAGCTATTCTTCAGGAAAAAAAAAAAAAAGTTTGTGGTTCCTTTGTTTTTGCACTCAGCTTAATATTTGAATTCAATGTAAAATTTTGTTGAGACAAAGTTTTAATGTTAGAACTTACATTTCTACAGTTTAAAGTTTTCTGAATGCAGAGTAAAAAGCGATGATAATCACTAAAATAAACTGCTTACTTATTTTTTCTTCATGATGATGAGTTGCTACTTTCATAAGTCCAGGTGGGTCTGAAAAAAAAAGTTCGTAGTCAGTGTTGTTTAATTTGGCACAGATGGACAGGTATTCTGTATGTCTAGAGGTGGTGTATATATAAACTGATCTGTGTTTAAGAAAATATTTAGCTCTTGATCATTGCTGTGTATGCAATGTTTAGTCTGCTTTTTGCAAA